GGAATTCAGAATCTGTGCGGGAAGAAGCAAAAGGCCGAATAGTGTTTGTTTAATTATTGGATTGGAATTGAGTTGGTGGCCACAATTCCTTGTATTTCTTGGGAATTATCTTGGTGCGCAGTTTAATTTGCAAATTTGTGGTGTTCTTGCGGCGGTATTCTGGGATAATCTTTTGGGTAGCTGCACTGTTTTGTCTCACCTATTTCGTGAGAATTTTGGTTGGAGTTTGTTTGATAGTAAAAATGGCTGCTATCAGTATGAAGATTGAGAAGTTTACCGGAAGAAACAGTTTCAGTTTGTGGCAGATCAAGATGCAAGCATTGTTGAAACAACAGGGTTTGTGGGCTCCGTTGTCTGGAAAATCGAAGAAGGAAAGCATAGATGAAGAAGAGTGGATTACTTTGGAGGAGAAAGCTCACTCTACAATCTTGCTTTGTTTGGCTGATGACATCATCACTGAGGTTGCTGCTGAGAAGACTGCGGCAGGCTTGTGGTTGAAGCTTGAAAGTCTATACATGACAAAGTCTTTAACCAATAAGTTGTATATGAAGCAACGTTTGTTCAGTTTGCGTATGCAGGAAGGTACATCTCTCAGGAATCATCTAGATCAACTCAATACTATCTTGTTAGATCTGCGGAATATTGATGTTAAAGTAGATGATGAGGATGCTGCCTTAATTCTGTTAGTATCTTTGCCACAGTCATATGAGAATTTTGTGGAGTCTTTTATTGCTGGGAAAGATAGTTTGTCTTTGGAAGATGTCAGATATGCTCTACATACTAGAGAGGTTCGAAATAAGGCGTCTGGTTCAGGTTCGGAAAATCAGGCATCTGGGTTGGCTGCTACTAGTAGTAGGAGACAACAATCTGGTAATAGGAAGGCGAATACAAATTCGAATTCTACTGGTTTGAAGGATGATATCTGTCATTACTGCAAGGAGGAAGGGCATTGGAAATTTGATTGTCCTAAGCAAGAGAAATATCAGGAGAAGAAGGAATCATCTGCTGCTGTGGCGGAAGAAACTAACTCTGATTCTGAAGATGGTTTAGCCTTAGCAGTGAATGAACAGGTCATCATCAGGATGTGTGGTACTTGGATACTGCAGCTGATTATCATATGTGTCCAAGCAGGGAGAGTTTTTCAACTTATGAGCAGATAGATGGAGGACATGTTTCTATGGCCAATGGTGCTATCTGTAAGATTGTTGGAAAAGGATCCGTCAGGATGAGGACACATGATGGTTCTGTTCGCACCTTGAACAATGTTAGACATATTCCAGAGATGACTAAGAATCTGATATCTTTGAGTCTACTCGACGGCAAGGGTTTCAGTTTCAAAGGTGAAGGTGGAGATTGTTAGAATATGACTTGAATTTGATTTGGGTTTGTTTTGTGTTTTAGGCCTATTCTGTTTGGGTTTGGGATTGGGCTTTTTCCTTGTATGTTTGGGAAAAGGTATTTGGTTTTCTGTTTGGGATTAGAAGAAGAGTTCTATAAATACTCTTCACCACCCTAATATGTTGTAAGGTCAGTCGGGTTAGTTTGTTTGGTTTGTCAGTTTGGAATTTGGGTTTGTAACCTGTACTCTCCTCAAATTAGTGAAATTTGTTCTCCTCTGCCCGTGGATTAGCTAGCACACATTGTGTTAGTGAACCACATTAAATTTGTGTTCGTTCGTGTTGGTTTGGATTATCGATTGCACGCTTTTGTTCTGACAAGTGGTATCAGAGCCTTTGGTTGCGGTTTTGGAATTTGGCGCTGGACTGAAGTTTTGCTTTGTGGAGTTTGGTTGGAGTTTGTTTGATAATAAGAATGGTTGTTATCAGTATGAAGATTGAGAAGTTTATCGGAAGAAACAGTTTAAGTTTGTGGCAGATCAAGATGCAAGCACTGTTGAAAAAACAAGGTTTGTGGGCTCCGTTGTTTGGAAAATCGAAGAAGGAAAGCATAGATGAAGAAGAGTGGATTACTTTGGAGGAGAAAGCTCACTCTACAATCTTTCTTTGTTTGGCTGATGATATCATCACTGAGGTTGCTGCTGAGAAGACTGCCACAGGTTTGTGGTTGAAGCTTGAAAGTCTATACATGACAAAGTCTTTAACCAACAAGTTGCATATGAAACAACGTTTATTCAGCTTGCGTATGGAGGAAGGTACGTCTCTTAGGAATCATCTAGATCAACTCAATACTATCTTGTTAGATTTGCGAAATATTGATGTTAAAATAGATGATGAGGATGCTGCCTTAATTCTGTTAGTATCTTTGCCACGGTCGTATGAGAATTTTGTGGATTCTTTTATTGCTGGGAAAGATAGTTTGTCTTTGGAAGATGTCAGATCTGCTCTACATACTAGAGAGGTTCGACATAAGGCGTCTGGTTCAGGTTCGGAAAATCAGGCATCTGGGTTGGCTGCTACTAGTAGTAAGAGACAACAATATGGTAATAGGAAGGCAAATACAAATTCGAATTCTGCTGGTTTGAAGGATGATATCTGTCATTACTGCAAGGAGAAAGGACATTGGAAGTTTGATTGTCCTAAACTGAAGAAATATCAGGAGAAGAAGGAATCATCTGCTGTTGTGGCGGAAGAAACTAACTCTGATTCTGAAGATGGTTTAGCCTTAGCAGTGAATGAACATGTACATCATCAGGATGTGTGGTATTTAGATACTGCAGCTGATTATCATATGTGTCCAAGCAGTGAGTGTTTTTCAACTTATGAGCAGATAGATGGAGGACATGTTTCTATGGCCAATGGTGCTATCTGTAAGATTGTTGGAAGAGGCTCCATCAGGATGATGACACATGATGGTTCTGTTCGCACCTTGAACAATGTTAGACATATTCCAGAGATGACTAAGAATCTGATATCTTTGATTCTACTCGACAGCAAGGGTTTCAGTTTCAAAGGTGAAGGTGGAGTGTTGTCTGTCTACAAGGGTTCTAAAGTGATTTTGAAAGGTATCAAACGGGGTGCCTTGTATAATCGACAAGGTTCTGTTTTGCCATGCTCTGTTGGTGATAAGTGCACCAAGTTGGTTCTGAATGGCAAGTCTCAACATAGGTTGGATTTGCCGAATGGTTTGAGTTGTTGACCGCCCTTAGGGGCATTTGGAGGCAGGGGAGGTTCTGGTACAGCTGATTTGGAGGAGTTTGGTACGTCTGACAATTCTGATTGCATTTGAGTTTGGTGATTTGCATCGCGTTTGAGTTTGGTGATTTCGATCACATCTGGATATGTGGCGATTACGATCGCATCTGGGTAAATTTGGCGATATGGATCGTGTCTGGTACATCTGGTATTTGAGAGAGAATTCAAGTCAAGGTGGAGATTGTTAGAATATGACTTGAATTTGATTTGGTTTTGTTTTGTGTTTTAGGCCTATTCTGTTTGGGTTTGGGTTTGGCCTTTTTCCTTGTATGTTTGGGAAAAGGTATTTGGTTTTCTGTTTGGGATTAGAAGAAGAGTTCTATAAATACTCTTCACCACCCTAATATGTTGTAAGGTCAGTCAGGTTAGTTTGTTTGGTTTGTCCGTTCCGGAATTTGGTTTGTAACCTGTACTCTCCTCAATATCGTACTTCCATTCTACCATTATGATAGAGCTGGTATAATTGATCTAAATTCTTTTTCCTACAAAAACATTTCGAGAATAATGTATATTATTTTGTAAATCATAATGAACTCTCTTTTTTTATGCGAAAAAACTAAAAATTTGAGTATAACGAAGGAGGAGGTAAAGGGTAGTAGTGGAGGTATCAAAATCAAAAGTATAAGAAGTAGGAGATTTAAAGAAGCAATTATAATCTCAGCCATCAGCTTTGACCTCACACAAAATCAAAAAGATCAGATGGAGTTAGAATTTGGTTAATCACTCTACTCTAAGAAGCCATTGAAAAAATGACTTTATTAAACTGGTCTCTCATAATAAAAACTAAGAAGTAAACATCCCATGCATTTGTGCCACGGATACAGTGGAAAGCATACCACTAAACTCATGTTGGAAACATAATAAGGGAATTCAAAAATCTATTAATGCATTAACTGATTAATTCTAGGTCAAAGAGGATATAAGGTTGAAACTAATATGTTAAGAGTATGTTGATACGCGACTGTAGCGGGGCAACACCATATTATCGTTACATCAATCACATGTACCATAGACGACATGAAAAATGAATGTATCAAATACGATCTAAGAATTTAGTAAACAAACCTAGCTCGAAATCGACTCGATTCGGCTCGTTAATAAATGGCTCGAGCTCAACTCATTTGTTAACGAATGCAAGATCAAGCTGGGGTAAAACTCGGCTCAGCTCGGCTCATTTGCCGCCCTAGTTTGGTTAAAACCTTATGTAACATCACTTTTCATTCAAATACACAGTACTAAAAAATCACAGCGTACAAAAAAAAACAAACACACCCCTATAAGTCTATACGTAGTACTAGGGCTGTCCATTTGGTTTTGGTTTTTTGGTTTTAACCGAAACCAAACTAATTGAAAAGCTAATATATGGTTTCAGTTTTTTGGTTTTAAACCAATAAGCAACTTAATGGTTTTGGTTTGGTTAAAACCGAAAAACCAAATAGAAACCATTAAGAAACCAATAAGAATAAAATTATTTATCAATAATTTTTTTTCTTTTGACACACATGCCAATCAATAATTTGTAATGACCATTTACCATTATTATGACGTTTATTCAATAAAAAGGAGGGAAATAGGAATAAATATGAGTGTATGAGCACATGTTGGTTTTTTGGTTATCCAAACCAAAACCAAAACCATTTAGGCCCTTATTGGTTTTTGGTTGCCAAAACCCAATAAGGGCCTTAATGGTTTTGGTTTTGATTTTTGGGATTTGGTTTTTGATTTTTGGTTTTTCACACTTAATGGTTTGGTTAACCAAACCAAACCAAATTGACAGCCCTACGTAGTACGTTCCACCATTTTTTCATCCTTTTTTCTGCTACACCAACACTACAACTAGCTAGCTAATTAAGCCCATTCAGAAATACGACCGTCGGCCCCGTAAACTCCATCGTCAAATACGTCGTACACGTACTCCGCAACGCCTTTATGTACGGTGATAGCTAAGAAATCAAGACGCTTGTCCTGAAACGCCAGGCGACATTTAAAATCCGTCCCTGGATAAGCATCATTTCGGTTGAACTTCCAATTGCAACTCGAATCGGCGACGACGAAACGAGCGGCGAGATCGACGTATCTGGATCGACAATGCACTATCAGCGCCATCCTGCTGCTCAACTTGTTGGTGACGTGAATCGTCACCGCGTAACGATCATCATGATCAGCTGCATAATCTTGTGGTAGTACCGTTGCTAAAACAACTGCCGCGGCGGCTAGTAGCGCTTTGCGAATGAGAACTAGCTGCTCCCTCGTCATCATTATATGTAGTTACAGAATTTCGGTGGTAATGCAAAATCGTTTTATTTTTCAGGAAATTGTAATAGTCCTTTTTATATGATAAAGAGTGTGTGATAAAAGGTGCATGGGATTGTAGGGCTCTTGGCTACGTACGGCTCTCTGCATGGTGTCTTTGGTTCTTATTTGTGGCTCTTACGTTAGTTGGACGTACAGCTTCTCAGGATTTTTTCCGGCAGCTTTGTCGTATGATTGTTGGGATTACTAGAGCCAGAAAAAAGTTAGATCGGAACAGGCGACAAAACCCTACACGACATCGATCAAAACTGTTACGTTTCCTTTCACTAAGGGATAAAAGACAAAAAAATCTATTCGTTTATTGCACAGTCTTTCGTGTTTTTCGTTCCCTCTCTTTTGGTAATACCCACCATTTAATCTCATGTTTATGAACAAATCACTTAATCACTTAGTTTCAATGTTGGAAACTCAAACGAGCACACCGATGGGTTTTTTTACCGTTTGCGCCGGTTGAACATATAATTCCTTATATTGGTAAACTATTAGGCTTTCAATTTGCACAATATTTTATCCCTTGCGCTAAACTATTGTTTATATTGGAATTCGTCATAAGGATTCAAAATCATAACCTCTCAATCAAAAGTTTTGATACCATGTTAACGAACAAATGAATCCACTTAGTACTAAGGGGTCGTTTGGAGAACAGGATTTAGGGCGTGGATTCATTGAATCCATAGATTTTGTAAAAAGTTATGTTTTTTTGTTGCTTTTTGTATTGTGGATTTTAGCTTTAGAGATTTTGAATCTCTAAAATCTGCGGATATCAAATCTCTCATAATCATAAGGATTCTATATCTTGATTCTTGAGATTTTTTCCTCCTATATTTTCTCTTTCTTTTATTTATTTATCATATTAAATATATTTATCAACAAAGTTTTTAATATTTCTCGTACCATTCTAATTTTTTCTTAAGAATAAACATGCTATTTAATATAAAATTAAATTTTTATTTTTATTGAATGTTTACAATCGCAGTTACTAAACAATAAACATTTCAAAATCTATTTTCAACAATCCAAAGAGTTAAAATCTTTAGATTGTTGACAATCTATAGATTTAAACTCATATTCTCCAAACGACCCCTAATATATAGCTTAAGCTGGTGGAAACTAGTTTGTTGAGTTTTTTTTATCTCCTACAATATCCCAAGTTTTGCACTAATCCCAAGAGCTGAGAGTCCTTCATTATTGGATATTGCACCTGATTTCTTCTTGCCTCTGCTTGATCAAGCAACATGCAGCTAGAGCTAGTCGAGGGGAATGGGATATATATATATGGTGCAAACTTATAAATTTACATGGTGAAACCCCACATTTTAATCATTCATTTTATCATATATTTTCTTCAACGAGACATATTTCCCTTACATATATAATCCTTTCAACAGTATATTTGAAAGATACGGACGTAGGATATGGTTTCACAAACACTGGCCGTAATTCATCAACCTACCGTACTCAAAATTTCAGTTCCATTTACCCATCAACCTTTCACCGCCGGTACTGCTTCTCTTCCCATAAAGCCCACGATCATAGACAACCCAGTAATGGTATTTAGCTCCGTCGCTCCCTTGATCATACGCTACGAAAGAAAGCCGCCTACCTTCCACCCTCAAATTGCACGAGAAAAGCGTCGTGAAAAACACATTCGGCTCGAAACTCCACTCGAAATCGTCGTCGATCTCCACGGTGTGCGCTCTGAGATCGTCTTCTCTCGATCCACAATGCACTATCAGTGTCTTGCTGCTCAACTTGTTCGTGACATGAATCGTCACCATTGCCGTAGAATCTTGCACTACTAGTACCGTCGCCAAAACGACCGTCGCTAGTAAGCGGATCGTAACCAGCTGCTCCCTCGTCGACGTCGTCATTATATCTCGTTAAATTAGTGAATACTGTAATTGTTTTTTTGAGAAGAAAGATAAAGTGTGTATATAATGAAAAGGTGAATGAGGATTAATTAAAGGGCTATTGGCTACGTACGCCTCTGTGTCTTTGCACTTGTTTTTTGTGGCTATAGCTCGTACGCTACTTGGAAGTACAGTATCTCCGGATTGTTTTCGGCAGCTTTTGTCGTCTAATTTTGAGGGGTTGTCAATGGCTGAAACTGAAAAATCCAGGGTGAGGTGAATCCGGCTCTTGATGGCATCGAATTTTCTTTTTATTTTAAGTTAAAAAAAAATAGTATATAGGATGTTTCCAATCATAGTGGTAAGAATAGTATCACTACCAATTAGAGGTGGCAAATGGATTGATCCATGGATTGGTGGATTCATTGATCAAATGGATTAGTGGATTCATGGATTGGATCAAGTGGATTGGTGGATTATCCATGAATCCAAATGATATCTTCAACCAAGAACCAATATGTAAAATATAAAAAGTTTAGGTACTAAAATGTCATAATGAAAAATTTTAGGTATTTTCAATGATATTTTTCGTATACAAAATTAAATTTTGTGTAACAAAATGTAAAATATAAAAAGTATAGATACCAAATCATAATTTGCCATTTGGATCATGGATCAATCCATGAATCCACCAATCCAATTAGATTTGGATCAAATAGATTGGATTAGGTGGATATTTTTAATGCGTTGGTGGATTGGATTGAGAATTGTCATCTCTACTACCAATAAAGAGGGTTTTGTAGATTCTCTTGATGACAATACAGTAAAAATCGTGTTTCATTTTGGTGATTCAGAAGCGTAAAAACATACTTTAAAGCGTAGATTTTGACTGCACTTGTAAGTGAAAAGTGCAATTCTATGTAGAAGTGCTTTGGTGATAAAAAATAATAAAATTGTAAACTTATAAGTTTTAAATCGCAACTTTAACTACATTGACTAAATTAAATGGTGGAGTTAGAAAATGTCAAGAACCAGTTACTAGCATAAAATCGGTGACACAGTTCGTTATAAAATAATAGAGAACTAAAGCTAAAATAAAAAAATAAACAAAATATAGCTGGTTAATACAATTCATATAAAATATTCGACTAATGAAAGTTAATTCAAAATCTGAAAATCCAAATTTTTATTTTATTTTTGGTTCCCTGACGTGGCAAGTGACATGGCGCTTGACTCACGATCAATGTATTTGACTGTCCCATTTGACGGTCAAAATCCGCTCGGGGCCGAACAAAGAAGCCACTACAAGAAACTGCACTTTCTGCGACGAATTCTACAGCGACACTAGAAAATTCGTCGCAGAAAGTGTACAATTTGCAACGAATTTCACTTTTTCGTTGCAAATGGTGTGAAATCTTTTTGCGACAGTACTCTTTCGTCGAATGTATGTACACTTTCTGCGACGGTTGCACGTCGTCGCAGAATGTTCGGGAGTTTTCTGCGACGGTTATCTATCGTCGCAGAATGTGCGTAGACTTTCTGCGACGATTGTCTGTCGTCGCAGAATGTATGTATTTTTCCTACGGCGATAGCCATCGTCGCAGAATATTCGAGAGCTTTCTGCGACGATGGCCTGTTGTCGCAGAATGTATATAGACTTTCTGCGACGATGGCCCGTCGTCGCAGAATGTATGTAGACTTTCTGCGACGATATCGTCGCAGAATATATCTAGATTTTTTGCGACGATAGCCGTCGTCGCAGAATGTTTGGGAGCTTTCTGCAACGATGGCATGTCGTTGCAGAATGTTCGAGACTTTATGAGAACTTTTTTAGTCATTAGGTAATGCTTGATGAAATTTTATATTGGACTTAATTATCTAACATAAGGCTTATATTTGGACTTAATTTTATATTTTATATTTGGAGCTACGAATTTTCCAAGATAATTGGAACTGGTTTTAACCGAAAGATTTAAAGTGCTTTGATGAATTTTATGATTTGGGTAAATACTATTTTTTAGCCAAACATTTTCCCCATTCCAAATTAATAGCCAAGCCTTTTGAAATCTTAATAATTAACCAACCGTTAAGTCTGCGTTAATAATTTCGTTAAATGACGATGAGCTCACGAATATTGTGCTGACCTCGATCTTAGGTGGCCAACTGAAGTGTAGGAAAGATGACAGTGATGGACTGGTGGTGATGATTATCCGCATATGCACCACAAGTTTGGTTATTATTATTTCTTTCATTGTTTTTGTTTAAATGATAAGTAAAAATATACTAATGTGGATGCTGATGTGGATTGTTGGTTAACGGTGTTATTAACGGTTACATATGAGTGACTAAAATTTTAGACAAGTATAAAAGGTTTGGCTATTATTTGTATTACCAAAGGTTTGGCTATTATTTTGAAATTGGCTTAATTGCAAGTTTGGTCACTCGAATTGCTATAAAATTTCATGTTTGCCACTCAAAATTATTTATTCCATTTATAGTCACTCGAATTAGTTGAACAATTCAAGTTCGGTCACTCTCCGTTAACCTCCGTTAACTTTGACTGACGTGGCGGTCAACTCTGACAGTTGACCGTTAAATGTGTGACGTGGCAAATAAAACCCAGTCAATCTGCGGCAATTCATCGACATTTTTTATTTACCACGTCACACATTTAACGGTCAACTGTCAGAGTTGACCCCCACGTCAGTCAAAGTTAACGGAGGTTAACGGAGAGTGACCGAACTTGAAGTGTTCAACTAATTCGAGTGACTATAAATGGAATAAATCATTTTGAGTGGCAAACATGAAATTTTATAGCAATTCGAGTGACCAAACTTGCAATTAGTCCTTTTGAAATTATTTATCCTGATTTTCCTATTAAGATTGACTAAGGATTAAATATAAGTGAACAATTATAGATGACATATGCTTTATTTGTAGCCGTATTGGTTCAAATGTTTGTGGTAAGTTTGTTGACTTAAAAGCAACAGGTCGGCAGTTCGAATCCAGAAGGAGTATTTTTTGTAAAGGGTTTGGAAGGGTATTTTAGTCAATACAGAGAGGGTTAGTATATAAAGAAAGAGTGGAGAGTGCTAGAAAACCCTAGCCGCCCCAACTCATTCTACTTCTTCTCTCTTTTTCCTCTCTCTATCGTATTCTCTATTTCTCTCCCAAATCGACAACCCGACTGTGTTCCTCTTGGCGGCGGTGGAAGAAAGATAGACAGTGGGAGAAATAATGAAAGGGGTCGCCGGTGCTTCGGTTGTCAATGGCGATGAGGGAAGATCGAAGAGTGCATGGGTATTGGCATCTAACAGCGGCGAATTGGCTCCTCTCGCGATGATTCGGGTAAGATTTGGCCTGCATGTGTGTTTTTCTTGAGGGTTTCTGGCTCAAGGATGCGATTGTAACATTTTTATTCTGGGTTTTGTTTTCAAAAGAGGGAATAAGAAATGGGGTTCGCCAATGGCATCAGATGTTGAAGGCGGTGAATGAAGCTTGATGGTTCTCAAATCTCCTCCAGCCGCGTTGAAGGAAGCTAGGTTCAACGTCTCGCATCTGGCCGTGGTGAATCGGCTAGAACCGCCGGCCGATGAACCAGATCTGCTCTTCCGACGAGAAAAGCGAAAGAAAGAAACCAGATCTGCCTTTTTTTTGGTAATTTATTATATAAATGTGCAGTTATAATTGTCAGAATAAAATTGTTTTCCCAAAAAAGTTCATTAGTTTTTTATTGTATTCTGATTTTTGTTTTAATTATTTTGCAGGTTTGGCATTCAGACTTGCAGATCTGGATTTTGGATGAGGAATTAATAGTGTATTTTGGGAAAATCTGGAATTTTTTCTCTGATGAGGTGCAGATTTGATGTTGATGAGGGAACCAGAAAATGAAACGAAAATTAAATTGTGACCTAAACTGAAATTAACCCGGATATAAAATGCGCCCTAAACTGAAATCAACCCTCATATAAAATGTGACCTATACTGAAATTAACCCAAAAATAAATTGTGAATAATTATAAAAAATGGCCATCTTTCTGCAATGAACTGTCCGTCGCAGAATACCCTTATTTTCTGCAACGGTGCAATGGGCGTCGCAAAATGATCATTGTGCGACGAAATGATCATCGCTAAATCATTGCCCTTAAGCGACGAATTTGGTTTTTCTTGCAACGAACCGATTTTTTCCGTCGCTGAACTTTCTGCGACGCTTTATAGGTGACGAAGGGTTTTTCACTTTTGCGACGGAAGAATTCGTTGCAGAAGGCTTCTGCGACGAATTTTAGGCCTTTCTGCGACGAATTTTTCCATCGCGGAAAGCGAAGTTTCTTGTAGTGAGTATATGTGATGCATAGTTCGGGTCATGAGAGCAATTTCATAAACCACGGGTCAAAGTAGAAAGTTTGGGTATATTTTGGGCCAAAATAATTTATTAACCCTTAAATATCAAACATATCTAATCCATTTAAATCAAAATCCAATCGGATTGGTGGATTCGTGGATTGATCCATGGATCCAAATTACAAATTACAGTTTAATATCTATATTTTTTATAGTTTATATTTTGGTAGCCCAAATTTATTTGTCATATGAAAAATATCCTTGAAAATTATGTTTTGGGTCCTAAATTTTTCTTATTGCAGTTCCACTGACTGTAGATACATTTTCGAAAAGAACACCCGAGACTTTGGTTTTGAAACTTGTTGTCCTGATGCCGCCCCGAATTCATCCAGACATTGATGACATTTAAGTACCTAAACTTTTCAAAATTTACATTTTGGTCCAAGATTTGGATGTCGTTTGGATCAATGGATCAATTCACCAATCCATATGATCGAATCCATGAATACACCAATCTATTTGAGTCAATCCACTTGATACATGTATTCATCAATCCAATCTACCAATGTATGGATCCAATCAATTTGTCACATTTATGGTTAGTCAATTAATAAATGATATAGCACGTACATTCGAAAATTAACCTAAAGTTTTATTTACATTTGAAGCAACCGAGATAGAATAATTTAGGATACATGTAGCATTTTCAAACAACTTTTGACTGGAATGTTTTTACCATCAAAGATCTTCGAGTTTCTTTCTTTCCATAAGTTCCAACATAATGCGTGTAGTAGCCCCCGCAACAAGTCAGCCCGTCCAAATTTGAGGGCCCGTCGATTTTCATGATTTTTATCCATTTATAGGTCAAATTTGGCTCTCAAATTCTTCAAATCTGACATTTTGGCACTTTCGCATTGCCATCAAAGTCCTGCTCATTTGTCACGAATATTTTCTGCAGATTGAGAAATAAGAGAATTCGACAATGCAAAAAAAAAAAAAAATACAAATACACAAACAACACACGATTTATGTGGTTCACTAATATAATATGATGATTTTTGTTTTATTACTATTTCCCGCTCTCAAAATGAAACCAGCCAGTAATTAGGTCAAATCAATGCCACTCAGCAAAACATAATCGCTTCTGAGAGTAAACATGAGTCCCAAAAACTCCATCGTCGCACACGTCGTAGTCCGCAACGTATGTCTTGGTTATGTATTCTTCTTCTCCGTTATACGCCGTGAAACCAAGACGCTTCCCTCGAAACGCCAGCCGACACCAGAAAACCGTCGCACGGGTCCAACCGAAGCCCCAACCGTAGCTAGAATCCGCGGCGGCCACCACACGAGCCTTGAGATCGTCGTCTCCGGACTGGCAATGCACTATCACTGCCATCTTGCTGCTCAGCTTGTTGTTGACGCGGATCGTGCGATACGCTGCCGCCGTCGAATTCTGCACCAGAACCGTCGCGAAAACGACCGCCGCTAGTACCAGTGCGTGGCGGATCGTCGTCGTCATTTGCGTATATCGTTACTAGCAGTACTAATCGTTCTTTTCTAAGACTGGTAATGGAAGAATCAATGGCGATGAGTTTTGTGGTGCAGTACTGATAATAAGTGGAGTAGTCCTGTTTATAGTAGTGTGGTAATTAAAAGGTGCGTACGGCTCTGTGCAAGTGTCTTGTGTTACTTTACTTAATTGTGGCTCTTATGTTACTTGGATTTACGGCTTCTCAGGATTGTTTCCGGCAGATTTATTGTGTTTTGGTTTTGGGATTTATAGCTAGAATACAAAGAATGACTGAGAAGAGTTGCAAACAGACTAAAATCCCATGGGAGCGGATCCAGTGACTAAGGGGGTGCTTAGTCACTTGACTAAGCCCCTCTCAGCCCTTAGATCTGGACACTTCAATTCAATGGTTAAAAAGTGGGAAGGACTATTTAATTAATGACAGAGTTAGTTTGGGTATTATGGAAAATTACGAAGTATACAAACCGGATTTATAATCAGTACAAACCATACAAACATACGAACAGTACAAACTAGAGCGACAAAACATACAAACAGATTTACAAACATTACAAACGTATGAACTGTACAAACAATACAAACTCACTACAAGAAAATGCACTTTTACCTAGGGTAAAAACGCTAGTTAATAGTCACAAAACGGTAGTTAATACTTTTGGCTACGGTAAAAATACGGCGGTTAACTTGGCCGTGGGTAAAAGTCAAAACGGTAGTTGAAAGTGACTATTGACTACCGTTTTTTATACGCTAGTTAAAAGTAATGACTACGGTATATATAACGGTAGTTAAAAAAAACAATTGGCTAAGGTATTTCCTGTAGTTAAAAGTGATGTATTGGCTATGGTAAATATAACGCTAGTTAAAATTCACAATTAGCTTTGGTAATTAGTGTAGTTAAAAGTAACAGTAGGAATTGATATCTAATTACCTATAATATTTACAGCAGTTAAAGAGCAGGGAATACTACCATATGTTGAGAAGATATACCATCTGCAAACCAAATAATTGTTGAATCAAAGTTTAAAGCAAACATATACTCTTATTAGAAGATAAACAAGGTCAAATACAATATTTTCCCCCTCAAACTCTCCTCGCCTTTCCTAACCACATAACAGACCCACAACCTGCATTAGCTTCCTAGTAACCCCATGGAAACATTCTCCCATCCATAAAAAAAAATAATGATCTATCCTATCTCCCTCTCTGCCTTCTCAGCCTTCGCCTACCCCTTCCGCCTTGGGAGTAGTTCTGAATAAACCCTCCCCTTTGCCCTCCCTCATCGTCAGCGACACAAGTCCCGCTTATTTTTGGTCGTCGCCTCTGGCTGCCCTCCGCTGAGTCGCGACCCTCCCTTCCTCCACTGCGGCGAGTCGCGCAAGAAACCCTGAAAACCAGATTATTACCTCCTCTTCTCCCGAACAAGTCTTCGTGAGACTTAGAGGAGGGGAACAAAAGCTAAAAAACAAGAATCCAAATGTAATTAGAAAAAACCCATTTAGAATCCAATCCCATACGAAGTAGGGAAGCTGAATGCAAAAAAGTAGATCGAATTTGCAACAGACCTGTAGGTATGAGGATAGGATTTCTACAACATATTTGAAACAGATCTATATATGAGAGCATGGTTTACAACAAATCTAATTGACAACTTCCTTTACCCGTTCATCGTTCTTAATCTGGGGTGAACCAACTGCGACAGACGGTGGATGCCTAGATGCTGCTGAGGCGGAGGCGGCGGACGGAGCAGAGGCTGACCGCCATGGACGGGAAATCGGCAGAACCAAGGGGAATGCTTGGACTGCTGGCTTTGTGTTTAGGTTCACTAAAATGGAGTGTGGAGGTAGACGATTCTCGAAAAGAGCTGGAGATGGCAGGGGAGAATGAATTGGATTTTCTTGTTTGCCTGTTAATGGGAGAGAAAAGAAAGGGAAAAAGAGGGCGCTGGAGACGGATAGAGATGATGGGGACATAGATGAAGAGATTGGATGAAGATTTTTGGAGATCACCGCTGGAAAATTGTTTGGGGACTGGGAGGTGATAGATTAAGAGCTCGATTTGGATGGAGATCTGGGGAGTGAACGCCTTCGATCTGCAATGAGATAAGGGATAGGAAGATTTGGATTTCTTTCCACCAAAACGGGGGGCCCACCCAAGAGCAGCTATCCACGTCTGAAACAAAGCCCTCATCATAGTCGTTGATTAAATAATATCTACGGAGGAAACATTGTCCTCCCACTACGACCAGGATCGATGCTTTTTCCACAAACTCATTTCCATTTTTAGTGTGGCCAAAAAAACAAATCAAGAAAACCTTTATTAAATAAAAAAGAAAAAGGTACCATAAAACTTCAGCTTGTAGTTCCAAACCAACCACTACCGTATTTCCCCCCAAATACCTACCGTATGGTATTACGGTAGTAACAAAGTTATTATTGGCTACCGTATTCACTACGGTAGGTAATTTTTATTATTAACTACCGTCTTTGATACAGTAGTTAGCAAACGGTAGGGAAAAGTCGTATTTCTTGTAGTGACTAGACCGACAAACAATACAAACCATACAAAAAGAAAAAACAACCGGGTTGACTTTGGAGGCTCCATCCCTATATAGAGGGGCTCATTCCCAAAGTCAACCAGGGTGTTTTTAGACATACAAACAATACGAACATGATGGACAAAAATGACAAACTAGACCGACAATCCATACGAACGGGAAAAAACACCCGGGTTGACTTTGGAGGCTCCATCCCTATATAGATGGGCTCCTTCCCAAATTCAACGCAGGTGTTTTTTAGACATACAAACATTACGAACATGGTGGACAAAAATGACAAACTAGACCGACAATCCATACGAGCTGGAAAAAACACCCGGGGTGACTTTGGAGGTTTCATCCCTATATAGAGGAGGTCCATCCAAAAGTCAACCAGGTTGTTTTTTAGACATAAAAAACATTACAAACATGGTTGACAAAAATAACAAAGTTTACAAACATGGTGCACAACAATAACAAAGTTTACAAGCATTACAAAAAAAACGACAAACATTACAAAATAACAAAGCATACAAACATTACAAAATATGTCAACAAACATCACAGAATTAGCACTGTCGCCGGGAAATTCTTCTCCTGCGACGATGTTCGCCGGAAAAAATTTTCCGACCAGAAAATCTCTCTCTCTCTCTCTGGGACGAAATGGCACAGGAACGCTTTTTTTTAAAGAGCAATGGCAGTGGGACGAACCCAAAAAATAAATGGCACAATAACGCTTTTTTTTAAAGAGCAATGGCAGCGCCGCCGGGAAATTTTGACCGGCGAGGAGATCCGGCCAGGAGACGGGCTGGACGGCCGGGGTCGCAACTGTTGGATTTTTTTAATTATTAATTTCTGAAAATAAAATAATCATGAATCAAGTAATTACTACACTACCCTTCATTAAATTGAATTAATTAGAGCCATTGGATTTTAATGAACTTAAAAGGCTAGGATTGACTTAGGCAAGTGACTAAGGGGACCCCCTTAGTCACCTGATCTTATCCCAAATCCCATTGATACAGTGGGGCGTAACCGAAATTTGATTTAAGGGGGTGCACTGTTGAAATAATTTTTGGACAACGATCCTTGATGCGATCTCGTGTGTTTAGTATCAAGAAATTATTCTTAAAAAAACATGATTTTCCAATCTATCAAGATTTTGCTCTTAATGTTTATTCCTTCAAATAAGCTGATAGTAGTTTGAGTATGTGAAAATTAAGAGAATAAAATAAATGATAGCATACGTGATTCGGATATATAATTGACACGCTAAAACACAACACCAAACTGCGATCAAGTGCAATCGCAGTCTGGAAATGCAGTAAGTGGCAAGCTCTATTTGTCAACCCGGGGCCTACTGCCTACTCCGGTGATTATTTATTATCTAGCAAACTAAGTCGAGTGATTGTGGTTTTAATTAAAAGTAGTAAGAAATCAGGAAATTGTTCAAAGTTCTTTAGCAAGGGGAGAGTCACTCGGGAATGAGTCCCCCTAACTCCTTAGTTAGGTCACAGTTGTAATTACCCTGGGTTGATTAACTGTTGATTAAACTGCGGAAGATCCGACACTAGCTTGGAATCTCTTAAGCTGACCAAGCCCTCTCAGACATGCTAACCGGCAGGCGACTAACCTTCACCGAGATAGACTGCTGAGGCAGTAAACACACAACTCCACTACTGGAATTGGGTTCCAGTACAAAGCAGTAAATCGATTAACTCTCGTATAACCAATCTATCACTACCGATTGATGAAGCTCTAACAACCTAATCAGATTCTATCTATCTCAGGTTGCAGCAGAAATCAAGAAAAGATGATGAAACTTCGATTGACTCAATGAATCATGCATCAATCGATTATAACCAATCAGTATAACAATTCCAAGTCATTACAATCAAGATCCCTAACACATGGAACTAGGATTCTTCATACCCAAGTGAGAGAAGGTTCTACTCCATAGAGAGAGAGAGAGAGAGAGAGAGAGAGAGAGAGGAAAACAGAAATCAGAGTAGTCATACTCATAAAGATGAGGAAAAATTGCTCTTAGATGATGATCTTCACTCCTATAATGATCTCCAAGCTCGATTGATGAAACCCAGCTCCAAAATCACCTCTAGGATGTGTTCCTCGCACTTTCTCTCTCTAGGGCTTTGTTTTTTGCTCAAAAACTCGATTTTATCTCCTTTGGCTTGAAAGGGGTTAAACTTGAGAATTTTTCGACCACACGGCCAGGCCACACGGTCGTGTGGCTTTCCAGTCTGCCCTTGTGGATGTGAAAACGCCTCGTTTTGATTAGTGGACTTCAGGCACGCTGCACGGCCAGAAGCACACGGCCGTGTGGATTTCCAGTCTGGCTGTGTGAGCTCCATGGACTTTCCACACGGCCACAAGGGGTCCAATACACGGCCAGTGTGGCTTGGCCGCGTAATGGGATTCCACACGGCCGTGTGGAATTTAGGTATGCCCGTGTGGAATTTCCAGCTTTTCGTCAAACGTCCCAACTTCGTCCAATTGACCCCGAACTCGTGCACAAACTTTCCTTCGCGTACTAGGACCTGAAATATCACAAACAAGAACAACCTAGCGTGAAATCGGCCTAAAACACGAGAGTTGAGACTCAAACGGTACATGAATGGTGGACAAAAACATGTGTATATATCAAGTCATCAAATTCCCCCACACTTAACCGTTTGCTTGTCCCAAAGCAAATAAAGTCAGATACAAGGTAAGCTCAACACATTTCAACTTTGGGGACAAATCATATAGGCACAGAACACGTGAATCATACAGTCTTTTGATCATTGACATATGGACAACTCAACAACAACCTAGACAACCATCACAAAGGACATTCAAGTGCAGCAAAATCGGGTAAAGGAAGAGGAATCCTTTCTGTTCACCAACCAACATAGACTTGACTCAACCACTTGACCAAGACAGTCATCGCATGCATCAAACTCAAGACATCAGAATCAAGACCGAGCCATCTAGGTCCTTACCGGGATAAAGAGCATAAAGAACAAGGAAATGAAACGCTCACTCTCGACCAGTGCGGTCAGGACAATTTGATGCGAAAAATGTGCATGCTTATTCTCTCAAATTCTAACGTCTCTTCACTATGATGGCAACCTCTAAATGTTAAAGTTCACACAAGGAATGTCACCACTAACTAATCCGGAGGGCTTAGACACAGGTTGAAATGACTGGCTAGGGTCTTGGACATGGGGAAAAAGCCTTTTAGGTGGTGGAAGTATTCATAGCACAAGGTTCCACAATTCCAAACCCAACACCATCATAGCCAATCAAACCACTTACTTACTTTCTGCTATTCTGCACTACTCAAATTCCTTAGAGCACAAGAACGAAGGAGGTCACAATAATGTTAGTATTTCCAAGCCAGACTGCTAAGAAACACTACTTAATGAGCATGATTCAGATTTTTGGGTAGTGGCTCTCTTTTGCTTTCATTCATTTTGTTTTCTTTTTTTTTTCCTTCATTTTTTTCATTTCTTGAGAGAACCACCACCTCTGCACATTTTTCAAACACATGCCCAATTTTTAAGCATTACCTCCAATCCTCACATTATATTTAGCAGAAACAGCAGAGAACATGCAAAAACCACTCTATGAAACCTTCTAAGAGATGCAAAAGGGTGATTTTCCATTGTAGACGGCTCAATGGGGATGACTAGAGATGCAAAAACATTGTCCTAGTTACAATCAAGTTGTCATACATTAATTCGAAAGTCATTCGATTCACCAATCAAATCCACAGTGTCAATATGATCATGCAAATATCAGTACTTGGAGCCCTCAAATCTCGAGATTTGGACAGCAAACTAGGCTCCAAGCACACAAACTCATCTAGCAGTCAACAACAGATACACACCCCCCAACACTTAAGCACGACATTGCCCTCAATGGAGCAAAGGGAAAGACAAGGGGAAACAATGTTACCGAGAATACGGACTGTCGGGGGACTGTAAATGAGACCAGTCAGCAGGGCTAGAGTCATCAAAACACACTGGGTGATAAAAACCATAGTTCCAAGTGGACAAACCGAAAAACAAACGAAAGAAAAACAAACCTTGGCGGGGTTGCCTCCCCACAAGCGCTTCTTTATCGTCGTTTAGCTGGACGCCAGTAGGGTGGATGCTCAGAGTGGTGTAGGAACAGGTGCCTTCAAGAGCGGATCCACATCGCTCTTGAGGTACAACTTTAGGTGGTGGCCATGCACTCGACGAGTGTGACCACCACCACTCCTTAACTCGACCTGACCATCCGGCAGGATGCAAGCGAGTGAATACGCGAATGGCCAAGACGATCGAG